AAGTGGACATTCGCGCGCGCAAGACCAACAAAAAACACGACGATCTCAGGAACTTGCCCCAAAAATGTGACCAACTCCGCTCTCTCTGTCTCTCTCTCTGTCTGCTCTCTGTCTCTCTCTCTGTCTGTCTGTGTCATGTATTGTATGTCACAATTGCAGGATGCTGGGCACACGCGCGCCCCGAATAAGTGACCAAGTTCTGTGGGTGTGTACCCCACGCCAGTGTAGTAGCCACGGTCGTCCGCACGCCACGAAGTGAAGTGTCCCAACGTCATAGGGCGGGAAGCTGGGTTTGGGTGGTCGCGAAGAGTCGTTTGGATATTTGGTAGAGCTTGAACTGCCCCCCCACGAAGTGGGGGTATTGTCTCGCGTCGCATGAAAACCCTGGCACTGGTGAGAACACTGAGCGTTCGGGTAAAATGATTGTTGTTGTTGTTGTTGTTGTTGTTGTTGTTGTTGTTGTTGTTGTTGTTGCTGCTGCTGCTGCTGCTGCTGCTGCTGCTGTTGTTATTTTTGCTGCTGCTGCTGCGGCTGTTGAATTCTCATTTTTGAAGAATAATTATTGTTGATCCCCGCTCACCGGTGCATATTGTTTTTCTCAGTCAAAGTGTGTTCCTCGACGCTCGCACCCTGTTTTCTGACAGGGAAAGTCGTGGTGGTCAAACTGGACCCCTGGCCCCCCGGACTACAACAACAGCGGCTCCCGCTTGAGATTCCCTTCGAATTTACTCAGGACCCCCCCCTCCCGTCTGAGATTTCCTCCCAATTTACTCAGGAACGGCGCTCCCGCTTGAGACTTCCTCACATTTAGTACAGGTCAAACTGCGTTGTTGCTCCCCCGGACTACAACAACAACGGCTCCCGCCTGAGACTTCTTCCAACTTTTACTCAGGACCCCCGCTCCCGCAATTTACTCAGGATCGGCGCTCCCGCCTGTGACTTCCTCGCAATTTAGTCGGGCCCCCCCCTCCCGTCTGAGGCTTCTCACAATTCTAGACGCTTCGCGTATCCCCACCAGCCCGTCCAGAAACGACGCCCAGGCGAGTAGAGGGTCGTCCTGAGGGGCTTTTCAGCGTCTTGGGTGCCTCGGGGGGGCCCCTGTGGGGTGTTCGGGATCCTCTTTGGGGCCTCCTGGGGGCCTCTTGGGGCCTCATCGGGCCATCTTGGGGCCTTTGGGGGCCTCCTGGGCGCTTCTTGGGGCCTCCTGGGCGCTTCTTGGGTGCCTCTGGGGGGTCTCTTGGGGCCTCTTGGGGGTCTCTTGGGGGCCTCCTGAGGGCCTCTTGGGGGGCCTCGGAGCCATCTTGGAGGAGATCGATCAACGAAGGGGGGTTCCCTAATTACAGTCCCCCCCTCAGGAGCCACGATCCTCGTGAGGGGTGTCGAATTTTAGCCCTCCCAGGGGTCGATCTTGGGCGCTCCAACGCGCCGCGGAACCCCCTGTCCAGGTCAGTGGGGAGGGGGTAGGGGGAGGGGTAAACCCCCCCCCGAAGGGGAAGAAGGAGGGGTGGAAGAGGAAACGCTCTAAACCACCGACGCCCAGAGGGCTGGTGGGATTTACTCAAGAACGGCGCTCCCGCTGAAGATTTCCTTGCGCTTTAGTCTAGACCCCCGCTCCCGCCAGACATCCCCCTTTCAGGAATTGCGCTCTCGCCTGTGACTTTGTCGCAGTTTATTCAGAAGTCGCGCTAATTCTTTACGCTTCGCGTGTCCCCACCAGCCCATCTCACAGCAGCAACTCTCGCGAAGCAGGCCGACAGTCGTGTTTTTCAGGCGTGTGTCCGCTTGGCCCCGCATGCCTCCCCTGTTCCTCCTTCCCCCCGCCTCCTTGTACATCCTCCTTGTGGGGGGAGCGGGAGAAGGACGAGGCGGAGGAGGAGGGAGAGACAGCGCTCCTCGTGGTTTGAGTCGTTTGGGGATTCTCGTCCTGGTGAGTCGTTCGGGCCCTTCTTCCTGGTGTGACTCGTTCGGGCTCCTCGTGGTGCGAGTCGTTCGGGCTCTTCGTCGTGGTGTGAGTCGTTCGGGCTCCTCGTGGTGTGAGTCGTTCGGGCGCCTCGTCCTGGTGTGAGTCGTTCGGGCCCCTCCTTATGGTGTGAGTCGTTCGGGCTCTTCGTGGTGCGAGTCGTTCGGGCCCCTCGTCCTGGTGTGAGTCGTTCGGGCTCCTCGTGGGGCCTCTTGGGGGCCTCTTGGAGGCTCTTGGGGCCTCTTCGGGGCCTCTTGGGGGCCTCTTGGGGGCCTCTCGGGGGCCTCTTGGGGCCTCTTGGGGCCTCTTGGGGGCCTCTTGGGGGCCTCTTGGGGGCCTCTTGGGGCCTCTTGGGGGCCTCTTTGGGGCCCCTTGGAGGCCTCTTGGGAGCCTCCTGGGGGCCTCTTGGGGCCAGCTTGGGGCCTCTTGCGACCTCCTCAGAAGCGTAAATGACCGCTGCCCCCTGAGAAGGACAAAATGAGCCCAAAACCTTCGTAAAATCAATGATTTTGCTATGAAGGAAGAGGAGCGCGGCCCCCTCAGGAGGCCAAAATGGGGCCAAAGCCCTAGTAAAATCAATGTTTTTTGCTTCCAAGACGGTCTGAGGCG